CTGATAAAGATGGCTTGTGTCCCCCAAAGATTATGTGTTGATTCTTTATAAAAATAATATTCAGTAAAAACTGAACACTAAAAATATATCAAGTTTAGGAAGCTTTATTTGCATTTGACTGTACATACCAATTTTCCAGGCAAGAACTGTCTGGATTCTAATTCAGATATAATACACATGATAATGTGTAACTAAAAAAAATCTAAGATTATCAGGCTGCTTTAAGTTTTCAGGTAAAGAGGTGTAAGCAAAATTAACATGTTGACACAACTGGCATTTACCTTTATGTAAAAGTGACCAAAGTACAAATTAGCACTGAAACTGCAGTTTAGCACAGATTGCACAGATATACCATAATGATATTAACCTTACCAAAGGAGAACATATTGATGTTGCGGTCAGTTACCATGTAGCAACTATACTACCCAATGGATTTTTTGTTAGGTAACACTGTATACTACAGCTGGTGTAGCCTCTGCAGTTTTGACATTTTGCACCTGCTAAATTTTAACAACAATGTTTGCAAAATTAGAAGGCCTAGTTGTGCCCTGAGCTATATTCAACAGTGACATTTTCAGAGGAAAAAGAACAGAGTATACGGCACACAGGAAGCAGCACAAATTTGGCTAACAACTTTTAAACTGGTTATAATCCTTGTTTATACTCTTATAACTATATAGCAAAGTCTGACCTGATGTAAAGCGGTGTAAATGGACTCAAATTAGCAGCTTGGAATATAACTCTATGCATGTCCTTAGAGTAACAAGAACATAGTTAAACATCTTCTTTTGCAAACTAATCATTTGGGGGCGAGGGTCTACTGGAGTTCAATGGAATTTATGGAACTTTCAGAGTTGGTATGTTAAATTATGGAAAATCACCCAAACAACCTAGAGACATTGATGTGTTTTGAAAACTAGTTTAATTTGACCTGGAATCACAATCATGAGTGTGTCGCTATAGCATGACTTCACTGCAGAATAACAGAGTTATAGAACTTTGAGTGCTGTCATTGTTTATTTCTATATCTTAATGTGTGTGTGTTTCTTTTAGCACAACCTTAACTCTGAATCTCCTGACTTTATAATCCTTGTTTTAAGAATAATTACAGCCTTTATAATTTTGTTTACCCTTAAGTGCTCATATGAACTCTCAATCTTAATTCTATTTGACTGTAGTTGTTTGAAATAATATTAAATACAGCAAAATCTTGTTACCTTAACTACTATATATTTCAGCATTTAAAGAAAATATCAGGGATTGTAAAACATATCTTGTCTCTATTCTTTTGTGGGTAGGCAGGGCCTATAAAGCAGTAATTCTGGTACAGTTCTGTAGGAAAGCCGAGAGGTATGGTATGGTGTGAATAGGCAGTATAGGAAGTGAGTGGCAAATTCCATGTCAGCTGTCTCCACAACAGAGGAGGAGGCGGGGGATGCGCAGTCGAAATAGAGAGCAGCACATAGTCCACCTTGCATCATTCTCTTTGTATGTTTACTAATCTCTTGTAAGTGGTCCCAATCACTAGCTATCATGTAATTCCAAGCCCCAGCTGGGTCTGGGTACAGGCCAATTTTGTCTCTATATTTTTATTTCCATTCTCAGATTTCTTGTCTGACACCTTTTTGGAGACGTGAGTACTACCAGTCACTCTCCTTAGAGCCAGAAATCAGTGGCTGAGACCTCCTGAGATACCCAGTTGCTTACATTTCCCCAAAGGGTTTTGCGCAGACTGCGTAAGCTTCTAGGTTACTCCTTAATCTGGCATGTAAGCAAGGAACACAGGGAGGGCTGAAAGAAATTTGTGATTTCTGCTTCAGAGAATGTTTTCATCCTAGCATGAGAAGGAAAGTTGAAAAATTAAAATTTTCCATTGAACAGAAATTCTGAAAATTTCTATCTGCAGATGTCTAATTTTGATAACATTTTCTACTGAGAAGACACAATGTGACATTTCAACACATATCAATAAAATATTTTTATTTCAGAAAAGACACAAATTGCCTCATTCTGAATAATTTTAAACTGTATCACCTTATAGTAACACAATACCTTAGGGCCATTATAGTTTTGGAGTTTGATATCCCCATTCTCACTCTAGGCCTGGCTCCCTGCTGGAGAACATCTTATATAAGGCAAACCATCACACTCCCACGATTCACCACAAAGATTGGTCACAGAGAAATGAGTATTGTGTCAGGAGTTCCCCAGAACTATGACACATATAAAGCAATGTACCATGGCAGAAAATTGCAGTTTAATATGTTATTGAATTGTTTCAAAACAAAGCGTGCAGTCAAATAAAAAAAAAAATCTAATTCATGTCAAGTCAACTGAGAATGAAATGTTTCATTTAGATGCTTCTAATGGAAAAGAAACATTTTGGCAAAATCAATTTTTTTGTGGAATCACTCTAATGGAAAATTCCTAAGTAGCTCTAATTGTTGGCTTAGTAAAAATAGTTCCTTGATCACAGAAACTTTTAATGTAAATCTCCTTTAGTAACAGACCTTTAGAAATAGAACAATAGTCTTTAGATGCATTGTCTCTTGAGAGTGTCTCTCTCTTGAGAAGATGCACACTCCTCTTGTGAGGCTGGGGTTTGTCAGCATTTCAGATATGCAGAGTCCCTTCTGCTGACACTCTCCTGCCATTATTAAGCAATGACTGCACCCATTACTTGCACCAAG